TCATCAAAATGTCGCGTTGTCGCATTGTCGCGTGTCGCGTTTTAGTCAAATACGTTATAATACATACTATACTCAATATTTTAACAAAGCGCGACACGCGACGCGCGACAACGCGACATTTCATCAAAATGAGAGGAGAGGAGACATTTCATCAAAATGTCGCGTTGTCGCATTGTCGCGTGTCGCGTTTTATTAGTTACCGCGGAATTTTAAAACTGTTACAAGGATGATTATGTTTAGATGTTTTTAAAGGGCTATACGATACACAGGGATCGAACTCAGAGTAATAATAAATGTGGCCGTGAAGTCTGTGGGTTAAGAGTTCTTGGTTAATGGAATGGATGTGTTGAAACTGGCCATTTTGCTGAAAATTATAATGATTGAGTAGGTGTATGTTTGAAACGATACAAGTACATGTGTATCGCTTGGTATATTATTATTATTATAAATAATATAGGATTCAAATAGAATTGAAAAACAGACAAAACACATTATTGTAATGAAATATGTTGCTAATTTATCAGGTTCCCTAAACCTTGAGTGAGTGATTGAGCGAGGAGTGACAGTGGAGTGAAGCGGAGAGGAGAGGAGTGTAGAGGGGGGAGCGGAGAGGAGAGGAGAGGTGCAGAGAGGAGAGGGGCGGAGGGGAGAGAAGAGGAGAGGAAAGGAGAGGAGAGGAGAGGAGAGGAGTGGAGAGGAGAGGTGCGGAATGGAGAGGAGAGGAGAGGAGAGGAGAGGAGAGGAGAGGAGAGGAGAAGAGAGGAGAGGAGTGGAGTGGAGAGGAAAGGGGTGGAGAAAAGCGGAGTGGGGCGGAGCGGAGCGCAGTGGATTGGAGCGGAGCGGAGTGAGAGAGGGGAGGGTTGGTTTCTGCCACTCCAAGGGTACTCTGCTAAGCGATTTCATCGTTTCTAATATCATAATGATAACAGTCCATTTGTATGGCGTTTTCCCAAGAAGAATATCACGTTCAAAGCCGACCTAAACTGTCTTTGAGGTGCTGGATGATTAAGTGATATTACCATCTCATTCTACCTGGTATCCATCCACTGCTGGTTGAACAGAGGCAGATGTCGGACAAATTCATCAGCGTCGGACAGGACTGTACCAAGAAACTCTGTCAGGAGCCACACTGTCGAACATAGTGACCCACTGGGGGACTTCACCTGATGTTTATGCCGATGTGGCCTGAATTTTAACAATATTTGAGTTTTTTCACAACCTGTGAGCTTGATATAGGTGAAATGTTCAAAGTGATGAATGTGTATGGTGCTGGGATTCGAACTTATGATCATAATTATCTAGTGTGACTAAGAAAATCGCTAATGAATTGTCTTGCTGCTAAAAAACACTTGATTGGCTAAACACAGTTACAATATATAATATAATAAAGCAACAGTGGAAGATTTCCATTAAGTTCAAGAAAAGAAGCCCCCATTGCCATTACGAGCAATTCATTGTAAAAACCATTGGAGGTAACAAAAGACCAGTGAAGTCTGAAATAGAGTATAACATTGTCTGCGCATGCGTAGACTAATTGACTTTCTACACATGCGCACCGGTAATCGAAAAGGGCGAAAACGCGACACGCGACAACGCGACATATAATATGTCGCGTTGTCGCGTCAGTCATATGTTATAATACATACTATACTCAATATTTTAACAAAGCGCGACACGCGACAATGCGACAACGCGACATTTCATCAAAATGTTGCATTGTCGCGTGTCGCGTTTTAGTGAATTTTTAGGCTGTTTTTACACATCTTACATAGGGCGACGCGCGACAACGCGACATATTTTGACCTTGAAAATTGTCGCTATGTCGCGTGTCGCCCTTTGGAGGAATGAAAAAATATATTATTCAGAACGCGACACGCGACATCGCGACAATGCGACAAATGGGCGAAATGTCGCGTCGTCGCGATGTCGCGTGTCGCGTTTTGTTTAATTTTGCTTGTATTTGAGAGGGCGACAATGCAACAATGCGACAACTCGACAATGTCCCTTCCAGAATTCTTTAAGTAACAGAGAGTAATAGTTATATGCAAAGTGAGACTAACAGCAACGGCCTGCAGACTGGTTTTAAGAGGAACAGGGCTATGGATAATGTCCTGTCTCACCAAAATGGAAGATCCACCAGTGGTTCTGTCACCTGGCTGTGAAAAAATGATAAGGATGGTATTGGCGTAATTCGAACTGATCATTTTGTTTCAAATATGTTTCCTGTAAACTGAATGCTGATGGTTTGAAGTCTTGTGTTAGTAATCGTACTTCATTAAAATTGTTACTAAGTCCTCTGCAATTCCAATGTATTAGATTCGGATATCGGCTCATGGAGGTTCTATGGGGGGATCTTTCACGTGAAAGTGATCAAGAACTCCTTGTTTTGTTTTCTGAAGACTGGGACACTTCCATCTCCAGGCGTTCAAATGAGTTATGAACCTCTACGGTTTCCTGCCTCTCAAAAGGAGAGAGAGGTTTAGATGATTGTTTCCGGTTAAGGCGTTTTCGGTTAGTTTTTGACATTTCAGCATTTTGGTCAACATCTACAGTTAATTGTTGCGATTGACTTACAGTCTGAGAAACAGATGTCATAGTGGACAGGCTGACAGAAGCAGTTTGCACAGAATGTGGTTGTTTTGATTCCACCCAAGTCAAATCAGTTGGGTTCGGCAGGAAACTGACACTGACTGAGGTTTTCTCATACAGACGCTGAATAGCTAACAGTCGGAGAAGGTTTAGAGTTCAACTGATGTGAGACTTGTTTCTTGGCCTCAAGGAAAGAGACATAATTTTCGTATTTGAACTTCAAAATTATTTATTGGATTTGCCGCTCAGGACAAGCGTTTGAAGAATAAACGTAGTCGCCACCACAGTTTACACATTTCGGATCTTTACAGCAATCAGAATCTAGATGATCGTCGCTGTATGATGACAACGATGAGCATTACGGCAGGATTTGGAACCATGTCCAAACTTCTGACATGTATATCACCGGAGTGGAAAGGGGATGTACACCTCCACTCCGATATTGAAATAACCGGCTTTTATTGATGTGGGCACAGTACTCATTGAAAAAGTAAACAGGTATGTGTTGCTTGGAACAGTACTACCATCTTGCTTCTTGACAGTGAAGGGCTTTACAGAGTGACATTTTGATCTTAAAGTTCTTCAACTATTTCGTACACTGACATGTCCGCCAAGCAACAGGCTCTGTCTCGCACAATTCCTCTACTAGAGTTGAGCGTTTTATGTGCTGTGACAGGAACACTGACATTTGCAAATTGATGTTGTTGTAAAAGGTTAATTAACTGTTGTCTTCTTGCGCACTCAACAAGGAGCTGACCGCCTCGAGGACATGAAACGTCTTGACCTCTCCATAAATAGATTGGATGGTCTTTGAAATCAAAAATGGATTCAGTTTGAGGGGTTCACCATTTGTAGCCTCGATGACTACAAATCGTGCCCAATTGTCTTGCTGTTTTGGAGGTGAAACATCTTCAGTCTCCAGACGCCTTTTTTATCATTCGTATCGGAACCAGATTTTCTTAGATTCATGATGTAAGTAAAAGGTTCGTCACCCCTGCTCCCCACCCGCCACCGAGTGTAAACAAGTACAGTGTTTAATTGCATCGGATATCCAGCATGCAAACATCAGGGATACAGGGGTGATATACTAATCCAGTAAATACGACATAAATAGCTATATTTGTCTACCAAATATAATGTCAGGCTGGTTCAGCTCTTAACAAGAACTTCGAGACATATAAAATTTAGAGGCCGACATCACCAGATTGGCCCATGAGCCACGCCTGGACTCACAGGACTCTAGGCAAACGTGTATATAATATAATTTGAAATACAAACATTCGTTACAATAATTGCATTAGAATGTTATCCATACACAGGGCCTGACGTGACCAGCCGATTGATAGAACCGGGCCAGTTCTACCACCCGTCTAGGTGAAGTAAGGGCCAAAGTGGTGTGTTTGGCAAAAGGAACACGGTTCCAGGCTCCCAGAGCCTCAACCACCAGACTCCCGTCCTCCACCGACACAGGGGCGCAACCCACGGCAAACAAGTTGCCCAATTCGGTCATAGGACCAGCATTGAGGTGCCGTGGACCACTATGCCACCGGGTCCACAACGGGAGTTTGAAGAGCTCTAAGCTTTATCAAGCACCCAACACGAGGAACTGGCTCTTCACGGGAGCCACCAGGCAGTCTAAAAATCTAAAACAAATCTTTTGTCCATCTAAATATTTACAAGATGCAAACACTGTCACACACTTCGATGTGGAACGTGTTGAATCAAAACTGAAGACTGCATTTACATTTTGTGAAGACAAACTATACTGTATATTTACTATCAAAACCAACACGAACTGCAAAAATGTTATATCTGTTTTAATATGTGCAGGATGTGGTGAACATTATCTTGGAGAAACTGGATAGCAAGATAAAGGATCAAGTCACTGTACAATAAAATCGCGATCCTAATGTGCGATGTAAGCAAACACATTGATGAAAGCATAAATGGCCAGTTTACTATCTTTCCGTTTTATCAATTGTTTAGCAACGATAAACAATTACGGATGAAAAAAGAACAAATGTTCTTAAGGCTTGTTAAACCCAAGCATAATTCAAAAGCATAAATTTGCTAACCTTTACAATGTAGCTCAGTATGTATTTGTGCATTGAAACCATACTGCATATACGTCCACCTCTATTGTTTCTAACTATGACATCAAAAGCATGATGGCGTCACAAACGTAACCTTTCTGACACCTATGACTACGTTTACGTCTCCCGCTATTGTCACTAACTGTTACAACATACGCATGATGACGATATAGATACTATTGTTATGCGTCGCCTACGACTACACTTAGTTTTCATTGTACACCTGAGGAGCCGTTGAACGGAGAAAGATCTTGTGCAGGTAAAGGAGTTTTGGCAAGAAATATCTGGAATAATCTTTTATATATACATATTCTTCAGATACGCCTCGACGTAATGGCCTCAAACTCTACATCTCTATGACAAATTCATCGGACCCCAAAGAAGGAGATCTATGTCACACAGTTAGAGGACGCGCCGACGGTACATGCATTCCTGATGTCCTGAATGTCACCTGTCCTGGGACCTGGCGCTACCTGACCGTCTACACAGAGACTGATAATGATGGTGGTGGTGCTATCTTGGACTTCGCTGAAGTACAGGTGTGGGGTAGGTATATAAACAACGACAGACCAGCTAGTACACGGTAGTCAGAGAATAATCAAGTCTGGATTACACAAACCATTGTATTGCATGATGATCAGAGCATAATGTCACACATCCGTTCAAATCATTGCGTTGTATATTATAGTGTATAGTACCTATTTTCACTTGTTAAGGAATGCAGAAATACAGTAGCTGCGTACTACTGTCACGTCCTCGTGTTTCATGCGTAATTATAAACGTAATAAAATCTCCATCTCCAAGGGAGATCAGTGTAAAGGTGTTGTATAAAAAAATGGTCATCATGCCCTATACAATCAGTGAAAAGTGTGAAATAGATGAGTTAAATGATGCTATGTAAAACTCCATGCTGTCAAGGAGGACCTGTGAAGGAGATTGTTAGCAATCATGAATGTGGCTAAATTAATCTAGATTAGATTATACTATACTATACTATGACTCAGCAATACCATCCATACAAGTTGAAAAAAGCAGACTCCTTTACCTGTCCATTAACTATCATTCAAAAACGTTTTTGTAATCATTCACACTATGAATTGCAATTTTATCACCAAACTATTATACATTAATGTCATATTTACAAACGTTATTAGTCCTTCAAACAGTTGATAGTTGACATGGGCTTTAGAGTTTCTCAAAATGATGTTTTATACATTATGTTGCTGCAGAAACCAGGCATACTGTGCAAAGTCCCTGTATTTAAACACGAGTGATGCAGTGGTATTGCTTCTGCAACCTAAGTTTCATCTATATCTCCAGAGCTCGTATTCTGGTAGACCCCCCCTAATCCTTGGATACAATCCAAAGGCTCTTGCGATACTAACTTCACAAGCCCATTTGTCATAAAATATGCTCCTAAGGAAACACAAAGGAGACTGAGGATATCTTTTTCTTCTCCAAGCGTTTCGTTAGCCTCTATTTCTGTTTTCATTTCGTTTACGAAGGGGAGAACAGTAACGGGCTAAACATACACCCCTGCCTGACGTCACTATGTATATCTGTTCTGAAGTTTTCTTCTTTCACACTTGCTCAAGCAATTTAATTCATATTTTCAATTAACGTAACCGTTTTCCACGAAGGCCTATTTGTAACAGTATATGAATGTTTCTTTCTCTCAGCAAAGTCAAAATTGAACATCTTTGAAGGTAGCATAAAAATATATTAAGCCTTTGGTTTTCCACAGATAACATTGAGCACAAATATATTGCCTGATGTTGAGTGATCTCTCAAAAGCGTGGTTAAGATTCTCATAACATCTGGTTTGATTCGGTCTATGTTCTTAATTTTCCTTCAAAATTATATTTGCATAATTCTTGAAAGATGTATAATCCTACAAAGATATTCGGAAGTGTAGGGTTGCCAGTTTTGCATAACATTATATGTTTTATTACATTGATCACAGAGTCTACATTAGTCTTTACAGACAAACTCATACTACACATGGAAAAATTATCAAAAAGGTTACCATTAATTGAGGCAAAGGAACGTAGCTAAACCCCAATTCAACTTACTATCTGGATAAACTAAATCTCAAGGGATTTTTAAAAGGCAAACATGAACGCAAAAAGAACGTAAATATATTTTGATTCGAAGAAGCAAAAATGGCAAAAATATTCATTTTGTAGTGCTTATAACTATGATTGAATGACGTTTCAAGATTCTGGAGTACAATCCTCAAGAAATTACATAAGTATTAATACCCGAACAAAAATATCAATACCTGGTTAACTTCTGCGATAACATCCCTGACCCTCCTCCTCACCGACTGTATCAGACGTTGAATTTGGCGTTGAGCTATTGCGTTCGATTATTGTTCCAATACATCAAGATTTAGTATTTGGGGATCTCTTTGGCGTATTCTGCGACCCATAAAGTCCCAAACATACTCTGTTGGATTGAGGCCTAGACTAAGGCATAGGTAGAGTTGCTATAACCTCTTGACGTAAGAAATCAACAGCGGCACGTGAACGACTTGAATAATAATATAATGAGTCCATTTATATAGCGCTACACACACTGGGTATGCTCATAGCGCTAACAATCACTAACACAGCACATTATTATCCCGGATAACCCAAGCTGCCTGTTAGGTGCTAGAATGTTATAGTCATATGACTTTTTCCACCGGGTACCCATTTTCTTCCTGGGTGAACAGAGACAATTGTCGTCCAGAAAAGCTGGCCTTCAAGGGGTGTCATCGAAATGTACTACAACAACTTTGTCTTGCTACCAAACTGTTTATAGTAGCGTTAAAAGAGCCCCAGTTCACTCTCTGTATTTCCTAGCATGCTCATATGGGTATTATGGAGCCACCTGTGACAAGTCCTGTGATGCACGTTACTGCAAAATGGACTCCTTCTGTAATGTAACACATGGGCAGTGTGTCGGTGGATGTGTGACTGGATATCATGGTACAGACTGTAGTCAAGGTAACATACGTTTCCTCAAATAAAAATGTTTTTGTTTACTTGTCTGTGTATGTTTGTAGATTGACCGCGGTTCAAATATGCCGTAGATCGTTGACGCTCTCGTTGACGCTGAGTAATATATTAGGCGTCATTAATATAAGGTCAAATGATATATAGCACTTGTAAAGAAAAGTCTCTCAGAAATAATAAAACTAAGAGTGTCATCATAATGTTTAATGTGTTGCCAAATGTGACACATCGTGACATAGAGACAAACAGTTCAAACAGCACTAGCAAACATCATTTGAAAAGACCAACTCACCAAAATGAAAATAACAAACATGAAGCACTCGGTGATTCAATATCGTGTGTACCCTCCTCGCGCGTCCAAGACAGGTGCACCTTAATAATGTGCATATCATCTCGGACTGTTGCGTTCTGGTCGACGTGCATATTCCATGGGCCCACTGGCTTGAAATCTCTGGCACAGTCTACCAATAGCAATCTGACTAACAGACCGACATTAAAGCGGACAGCAACCTGCCGCTGAGTTTGACCAGACTCCTTTCAGCAAGTGTCAAAAACATCTCATTTTAAGCTGTGATTTCAAACAGGTACCTGAACAGTGAACGACAGTAAAAAATCATCAATGCATGTGTATTGTCCTCCACTTTCCACGGATAGAGCGACTTGCACGTGCAAATAATTGACATTAAGTGGCAGGTGGATTTCCATATTGACAATTTGAATGAAAAATGTGCCATTTGTAGCAGAATGTATCGGACGTTAAAGAACTTAGTAATGACATTTCAACGGCCTGATATGTTTTCCATACTGTTAAGACAGTTTTTAAGACATTCAGTTGCATATATTTCAAACAAGAACGAAGATTTGTAAAGTTTTAAGAAATAGTGTTACCAAGAGCTTGACCCTTCATTAATGACGCCGAAAATATTACACTCAAAATCCACCATGGAGTGTCAAAATACCAAATTCAGCAATCTAGTGTGCCCCTCATTATAACATTACAGTTCATTTTCTTGAACTTAACCAGCTGACTATACACTTCATAACACACTCCGTGAATTACAGCCTGCGACCCAGGAATGTACGGAGAAGGATGTAGCAAGACCTGCTGCAACCGTCACTGTAAGACGTCATCGGGCACATGTGATCACGTGACTGGAATGTGTCCAGACGGCTGCGTCAGTGGTTTTACTGGAGATGGCTGTTTACAAAGTATGTTTCTTTTTTACTGATAATATACTGACTTCATGCACTTCCCTTCTAGGCAATACTATCGCGTTACTATATAAATACATATTTACTCATAGAAACATATGATATGATTCAAAGATTTATGGTAATTTATGGTACCTATTCTATACTTCACAAACCACAGGATATACAGCTACTATCTATATACAGAAACGAGTAATGTTCATTGAATTTTCCTGAGAGGATTACGACTGAAGCAATGTGCTAAGAACATGAGAAAAGCTCCACGATAACGATGCATCAAAACCTGATATTACGGTACTTTTCAAACATTTAATTGACAGGTTCCACCCAATGATATTTTCATCACAACTATTTTGGAACGGAATTGTCAGTAGTAGGTCATTGATGTTGTAATGTAACTTGCCCAAACTTCAATGTGTGAATATTACCAACAAAATGTTTACAGTTTACTGGTGAACAGGCATGATGTGGAAACTATATGATTAGCTTTATCTTGTAGAACCCATTGAAACACATCAACATCCACCAAGTGATAATTATCGTTGCAGTAAATTGCAAAACTGACATGATTCAAACCAGAAAGACATGTGTAATAAAGCTTCTATGTGGCATATTCTAAAGTAGATAAACATTAATGGTGAATCTACTTAGAGGTGAAAGATAACGTAAAACAAGTTCAGGGTTCATATTTCTCCTCAGATTGTCCAGATGGCTATTATGGAACTAATTGTTCCCTGAGATGTGCAGACAGGCATTGTAGCAGCACCTCCTGTCCCGCTGATGGGTCCTGTGACGCTGAGTGTGAGGCGGGATGGACACTGCCGAGTTGCACACAAGGTAATATGTCCCCTCGGACACTCTGTGAGACATGAACTGTAAACGTGGTGTTGATATGTTGAGATGAATCTTATCTGCTATGTTACATTCCACACAGAGTGTCCCATGGGAAATTATAACATCAACTGTAACTGTAGTATTGATGTGTTGAGATGAATCTTTATCTGCTATTTGATATTCCACACAGTGTGCCCCATGGGAAAGGATGGCATCAACTGTAACGGTAGTCTTTTTTGATTGGCATTCTAGAAGCTGGGTAGATGAAGAATGAGGACTATTTTAAATGAATATACAACTTCTTTATTCTGTATAGGCGACGTTTCTACATAGATTCTACAAGTGATACATGAGAAGTAATTTTGGGTGATATATATACATGAGATGTTTGGACAATAGGTGAGGGATGAGACGAAAATGAGTTGTTTATACATTAGAAGAGGTGACAACACAGATGGTATACAGGATTAAGTAGGTTGATTGGGAGCCAGATTTATGGATGTCAACTTCTTTATTTTGAATAACAAAACGTTTCGGAGTGAATGCTTACTCCTTCATCAGGTGAATGGTAGGGAGTATGAGGGGGAATATATATATATATATATATATATATATATATATATATGGGAAAGATAGATAGATAGATATACATATGTTACAGTCAATGTGTCCAACCAGTCATTTGAGCAAATGACTGAAAATCTTAGTCATTTGGTCTAATTACTAAAACAATCAGTCATTTGGTCAAAAGACTAAAAGTTTCAATCCATCAAATGCAAGGTATTTGTTCTGAATGTTGTCTCAACAAAGGGATTTTCACAGTAACCACATGGTGCACATGGTTTCTCTTAAACAAACACTCTGTAGTAATCAAAGAAAGTGTAGCAGTCTTTCTCAAAATGTTTGCATATTTCACGTTGGCAAAAATTGTAAATTTTGTTTTCTTGTTTTATTTTGAAATGTTGTTGATTACGTTCATAGTATTCTGAATATACAAAACATAAATGATGCAAGCTTATTGACGTTTGATTATTCATATTGTACCCTTATTATCAGAAATTTCATGAAACTGCGTCACTTCTGTCACGAAATTTGTAACGTCATTCTGAAAAGACAAAATCCAACACGAGAACAGTAGTGACATTTTCAATAATAGCCAGTATTTTATGTTTACTCTAAAAGATAATTGAAAGAAATTTGTCAGTCAGATATTTCAGAATGTTTGGAGGATATGTAATAGGCAAAAGATTTACTTTTGGATGTCCCTGTCATGTAAAAAACAGGTAAAGGCTGCATTGTTTGTGTCAATATTTGACAGGCATGTTTCCTTGTGACACATGAAAATTGAATAAAATTGGGTGGTTTCTGGGTTTCAAAATATTACTATAAAAATATGTTTCCCAATTTTGTTACTGTAAAGTGTAAAATACCTGAGATGAATTAATTACCACAAACAAAATTATTGATTTTGACTTAAATATAAATAACAGAAATATGTACGAATTTTGACTCAAAGACAAAGGGGTAGTTAATACATACTGACTCAAAGGCCCCTGAGACTGACCCTGCTGAAGAAGTCGAAAGTGTTGGACATAACTTTGTTCACTTCATCTTTTTGGTGTTTCTTTTTTTAACTTAAATGATTTAGTCACTTTTAACTTAAATGACTGGTCGAAAATTTTAGTCATTTGGTCAGATGACTGGGAATATTAGTCTTTTGACCAAATGACTGATCGTTAGTCTTTTGACCGAATGACTGGTTTGACAGATTGACTGTAAAATATACATATGTGAGGCACTACAAAGAAAACATGTTTCACAAAGTAAACAAACATGTGGCCAGTGGTACACTTAAACAACATGATTAAAGATGTGATTGGGTGTGATATAAACATGAAGAAGCCAGTTTGACAGATTGACTGTAACATATACATATGTGAGGCACTACAAAGAAAACATGTTTCACAAAGTAAACAAACATGTGGCCAGTGGTACACTTAAACAACATGATTAAAGATGTGATTGGATGTGATACAAACATGAAGAACCAGTGATACACTTACACAACATGATCATAGATCTGATGAGATAAAACAACGACAGGGCGGGTGGGAGTTTGAATACTAAGGCTGACAGGAGTATCTATGTCCACCTACGGCATCGTACCGGTATGACGCTACATGTATACAGTTGGCTAGAGTTCGTACAAGTGCAAATACTGCCTCCGTGGTGGTGTGGTTAGAAAGTCCGCCCGGGGAGCCGAAGATACCTCCATACCGAAAAATGTTATAACATGGTACTTGTTGGTCCCTGCCTGGCGCTCGGCATTAATGGATACAAAAAGGTCTGGTCGGCTATATAATGTGTCTGAGTGGGTTGTTCAAACATTACTGTGGCATGATATCTCAGTGAGCTAGCACTACAAAACCACCTTAAGTCTGGGCTACAAACGTATGCACGTCGTCATATGAGGGAAATATTCTTAGGTACGACTTTAAACCATTTTGACAAGTACATGTATACACATACATTATGTATTTACGTTGTTACATAAGTGAAATCGTCATGATCGCTAAGTTACAACCCATTTCAACACATGTCAGTTATATAGTAAATTATGTTACTTCTCTTCTTTTACAGAATTACCGAGGGATTCGGCAATCACCCCCACAAGAGCTGGTATAATTGGCTTAGTTGCTGGAATTTGTTTCATGTTGATTCTTGCAGTCGGATTACATGTTGGCCTGGTAAGACAAGGGAGGTAAGTGAAAATAGATAGACACTGACATGATACTTTTCATATTTTATAATATGCACCGTTCTTTCTACAAAGTATTTACAAGAAACCAATTCCTTTATGCCATGTACTTCGCAGGTTGCAGTGGATACACTCCTCTCAGAAGGACGAGGTAAAAGTCAAAGACACATCAACCAAAGTGGACAGGAACTCTACACAGCGGTCAGACTACTACACATCCGTATCCGAGCAGGCTACTGGCCGCAACATCTACAACAACGACTATGATAGGCTGGACGTCGAGGCAAAGGCGAGCAATGACTATAGCGTCATTCAGAACAAGGTTTATGAAAATATGTAGAACGTATATTATAGTAACAGAACACCCTCGATGTCAAAAAGATATTGTAAGAAGAAACTATAAAAATAAGACAGTTTGAACGCTTGAGATCGCCGCAAGGTTACAAAGAATGTTTAAATATAGTGAGGAATTGTTTGCTAAGGTGTATCTAGAGGAAATAAGTTTTACGTTCTTATACATGTAGTTCATCAAATGTCAGTGGCCATTGTCCATCAAAGGTTAGGGTCGTCCTTAAGCTAAGAGGGAACGAGTATACTTTCACATGTGTTCTAGCGAGGATAGGTTATTATTGTTTCTTATGATACGTGAGTGGTTGGGTAGCCTATTGGATAAAGCGTTCGTTCGTCACGCCGGGTTCGATTCCTTACAATGTGTAAAACCCATTTCTGGTGTCCCCATTTCCGGTGCCTTGGAAAACTGGGACGCTATTTTATAACCCTGCCAAACGTTGTCGGATTTACATGTTTATTGTGTTGACATGTTTCAGGTCAAGTCAAAAGAACATTTTCCTCACGTATGTCAGTGTCAGCACTTGGACTGACTGATAATTTAAAACTCAATTTTGTCTTTTCAAATCGTTATTGAGAAGCTGACGTCTGAAAGTTTATTATATGGAATGTTTCAGAACCATTTGTTTCCGAAAATATTGAAAAAATAATCTTGCTTTTGGTTTTACCCAGACATACATTTTCTTCCTCGGTTCCTTTACAAAATATGCCATGACCCCTTAGAAATTTATGATTCCTCTCATTTCCTTCGTAAGGCAGAAATGTTTCCGGTAAGGAGGTATTGCTGTGTCGGCTGTATATGAAACCACACCTGTTTATCCCACATGTACGCATCAATAGCAACATCATTATTATCCATGTGAATATTTGTCAAATATTGAGTCCCACACAATAACAATATATAACAAAGGGAATGTATGTATTGACCAGTGTAAGCTTGAACTTTTCACAGTTTGTATGTAACGTTCATTTGTTGTAGTGTAGTGTTGCTGTATTGTTGTTTTGCTTGTTTTCTTTTCTGTTATCATTAGTGAAAGATGCATATATACACTGGCCCTAAAAAGAAACGCATAGGTGAAAATCCAGTGTTATCAGTGATGATTTAATAACTTAAATTACACAAAAAGTAATAATAATAAAAATTCACACAGGTATTGGGACATGTGTATCCAAAAACATATAGTCATTCACAGTGGTATTGAGAGTCTCTGTTTTTGATGTCACGGTCACAAAGTCAGTATCTGGTGTGACCACCACGAGCCTCAATCACTGCCTGGGCATAGACTGTGGGATTCTTCTCCACTCATCCTGCAACGCATCGACAAGCTGTTGACGTGTCCGTGGTTGCGGCTGTCGGCGTCGTACACGTTGATCCAATTGGTCCCACAAATGTTCAATTGGTTAAGATCCGGAGAATTTGAAGGCCATGGAAGAACTGTAATTTTGTTGATGGAAAGGAAATCTGTTGTAATGCGTGCTGTATGCGGTCTTGCGTTGTCATGCTGGAAACTTTCTCTTCTAGCGTCAATTACGGGAATAACATGGAAGACCAGGTTTTCATCACGATAGCGCAGAGCATTCAAATTCCCTTGGACATGCACCAGCTCTGTTCTGTCATTCACAGATATGCTTGCCCACATCATTACACCTTCGCCGCCGTGTCTGTCGACCTCACGAACACACTGTCGAGCATATCTTTCATTTCGACGTCTGTAAATCCGCATCCTGCCATCATGTCGATACAGCATAAACCGCGACTCGTCGCTGAACCAGATCCTCCTCCAGTTCAAGAGGGTCCATGGCCGAACGTTCCTGCTCCATTGATGACGTGCACGACGATAGTGGTGTCGCAGAACAGGCCCTGTATGTGGTGGCATCGGTCGGATTCCATGCTCTC